CCCGGGCATCCCCCAGGGGTGGATCATCCCCTAGCCCGGGCATCCCCCGGGGATGGATCATTCCCCAGCCCGGGCATCCGGGGGTGGATCATTCCCCAGCCCGGGCGTCCCCCGGGGGTTGATCGTCCCCCAGACCGGGATCCCCCCGGGGGTTCATCATCCCCCAGCCCGGGATCACCCCGGGGGTTGATCATCCCCCAGCCCGGCCTCTCTCAGAGGTTCGGCACCTCCAGCCCGGGCACCCCGCAGGGCCGCGGGTGCCTGAGCGGTTGTTCGGGGGGTGGCGGTGGTCGTTGTCCCTCCAGCAGCACCACGGCGATGCAGGAGGTTAATGTGATGCTTTGTTAGAGTTCTGGTTCCCTAACCATCCAGACTGTGTGAAGCTATGGGTGCAGGTGAACCCTGGGCTAATGGGACTGTAGTGTGTGTGTCCAGGATGGAGCACAGGGTTTTATTTGGTCGTCTTTGTCCTCCCCATAGGCTTTCCAGATGAATACTTTTATGTTTCCTCTTCCTTGGCATGTTTAAATTCTGTATAAAGGTCTTCATAGCTGACTTGAGTTCCTATGTGATGTTTGCCTCTACTCTCTGAGAGTTTGGATCTGTCTTTTGAATTTTGTTCTGTGTCAGGGTGTGAGACATCACCTCTGCAGGTAGCGGTTGCTTGTTGGGTTTTTTCCAACTGCTGCATTTCTAGTTGAACTCTGTTGGAAAGAGAGCATTGGGGTGATAGTACCTTGGCACCATGGGGTATTTCTGTACCTGTGATGCGCTTTGTGCTAAAATTTAGCTTTTCTTTTTCTTTCACTCAAATAATTTCTTTATTCTTACTGGTTTTGCAGATGACACCACTGGTAAGCAAGAAGATGGACCAATTTCTGGGTGAGTCCAGAGGCTGTTTGTTCACTGTAACAATACATGCTGCAAAGAAGATGGAGCTGTGTTGAGCAGAGCTTCATGAGTGCTTTAGACCAACCAGTGCTGTTGGCAGGAACAGCAGCCTGTCCTTTCCCCATCCCATGGGATCATCCCCAGCCATCACACTTGGGCTGGCACACATTTATGGATGTGGAAGGTGTACTAGATCAGTTGACTGGTTTGATTTAAAATTAAATTTTAGCCCTTTATTCTCTCTCACTAGTTAGTTTTTAAATTAGGTCTGTTTTCCCTGGGAAAAATGATGCCTTGAGGATTGGCCTTTGTGCTGGCCTGATGATGGCAAAACTGTGGCTTATGCTTTAGCCTGGAAGAGGTAAAAACCTTGAGGCTGGGTTAAAATCTTGACATAATCAAATCAGCATATTCTGTGAGATCTCTGAAGTGTGGTTTGGGCAAGACTGTGAGATAAAAGTGTTGGGACAACTCAGTGATCAGTTTGGCTGTGTGTGGAAAGGACTGTCTGGGTCATAATTCCTCTGCATTTGTAGCTGTTTTGCTGAGCTTTCTCTCAGCAAATATTACCTGTTTGCATTTTAACATGTAATATTTTTCAGAAGACTTGATTTTCACTGGTGCTCAGCACCTTCCAAAGATCAGTTTGATGTTTACTGTCATGGTGGATTCAGTGTCTGGAATTTTTGAGATTGTTGTGGATGCTCTCCTACTTCTGTGTTTAAGGATTATGAAAACCTGTTCAAATAAAAGTGGTAAAAACTTGATAAACTGCTGCCTAAAAACATCTCGTGAGCTTTGTGCGAGGGAACAACTTTTAGGTAGAAATTTATTGCTGATTTGCATACATCTGTTGTTCCTTGTCACATTCATCTGAATGTAATTTATTTTACAAGCAGGATTAAAAATCTGAATTTCCAGCAACTGTCTCCAATAACTGCAAGATGCAGGAAGGAAAAACATTAGTGCTCATGTTAGCTCTCCTTCCCCCCCACACTTCTTTTTGTTGGGTATTTTTTTTTCCTCCCTTTTCTTTCTTGCACAATGAGAATCTTCCTAAATGCAGAGCTGTGGGGTGTTTTAAGAAAAATGACTCTTTGTTTGCTCTGTTGTCAACGGCAGCAGCTCCAGGGATGCACTGCTGGGCTTGTCTGGAGTGTTCGTCCCCAGCCAAGAAGTGTAGTTTGGGATGCAGTGCCCATTAACATTCCCTAGCCTAAAGGGTGTGTTAAATCCCAGCAGGATGCAGTTACAACAGCAGTGCCCAGGGATTATGTTGGCATTCTGGGGAAATGCAAGATCTGTGATGTTTTTCTGTGTGCAGATGATGCTTTGGGGTCCTGTCAGACTGTTCATTCCTGGGGAGCAAATAGGGTACGGAAAGGCTGTTGTGGAGCAAATGTCTTATCTGAACCCAATTCATAAATTTTAATGCACACCCACAGATACTTCATGTGACTTGAAGCTGAAGGTAGTACTTGTCACTCTTCCTGAATACAGTCATCCTGTGCTCTTAAGAAAATTCGGGGGTTGAGGTCAATGTTAAGAGTTGCTTAAAAAATGCTAAAGGCTTTCGATCCTGCAGTGAGATACTCTCAGTGGTACATCCTTTGGTGCTCAGGTGACAGCCTGTGGCTGCAATATAGAAATTCTTTTAGAGGCTGATTTTCCCTTAGACATCTTGGCTAGTTTTTATGCTTAAAAGTGTCTGTCATGTCAGGACCTTGGTGAACATGGGACCTGTGCT